TTCACTCAGCTCGTTCTGTCCTCCTTGGGGACATGTGCTTTCTCTCTGATGACATTCTGGCCTCGCCAATCACTGATCACTTGCCCCTCCGTTCTGCCCTGTCATGTACAGGTGCCATCTTGCCTTCATGCTTCACAACATTGTTGGATAGACATTGCTTGAAGGCCTTTGTTCTAAGCTCCGATTCTTCTTTTTAACATTGATGTTTATGTGAGAGGGAAAGAGAAGGAGAAAGAGTGAAGGAAATCTCCTATCTTCTGGTTCACTCCCCAGATGCCCACAGCAGCTGGGGCTGGGCCAGGCCAAAGCCAGGAGCTGGGAAACTCAGTCTAGGTTGAGGGGCAGGGACAAAGAACTTGAGCTGTCACCTGCTTCCTCCCCCAGTACACATTAGCACGACTCGAATCCAGATACTCTGATATGGGATGTGGGCATCCCAAGCAGCATCTTAACCATTAAGCCAAATGCCTACCCCCAAGCTCCAGTTCTTGAATGTTCGTTCTCTCTCTCTCTCTCTCTCTCTTTTTTTTTTTTTTTTTTTTACAGGCAGAGTGGACAGTGAGAGAGAGAGACAGAGAGAAAGGTCTTCCTTTGCCATTGGTTCACCCTCCAGTGGCCGCCGCAGCCAGCACACTGCGGCCCGCGCTGATCCAAAGGCAGGAGCCAGGTGCTTCTCCTGGTCTCCCATGGGGTGCAGGGCCCAAGCACTTGGGCCATCCTCCACTGCACTCCTGGGCCACAGCAGAGAGCTGGTCTGGAAGAGGGGCAACCAGGACAGAATCCGGTGTCCCGACCAGGACTAGAACCCGGTGTGCCGGCGCCATAGGCGGAGGATTAGCCTAGTGAGCCGCGGCACTGTCCTGAATGTTCTTTTTATAGCTTCCTGCTCCCCTTCTTCTCTCCCTTCACACTCTGCGCTCCAGCCCTTGACCTTTCTCTTTGCCTGGGTTCATGCTCTGATTCTCCCCTTCCAGGCTATCCTGCTCCTCTTGGTCCCATTTGTTTTCAGTCCAGCCTCGCCTGCCTCCCTGTGTTCCTTTGCCATCTTGATTCACTGCCTCTGCCTCTCCCACTGGGCTCTGAGCTTGAGAGCCCCATGAGGGCATGATGTTTTTCTTTTTCCCCCTGGATTGCTCTCCTATCCTGTGCATTTTAGGTCCTCAATAAATAAATTGAATTTGCTATTATTTTACACTTTTGCAAGCAGAGCCCTTCTACAAATAATGTTCTCTCATCACTGCCATCAGAAGCCTAGCTCTTTTGTCTGCTTTGTTGAAGAGGACTTATTTTCACTTCACATTTTGCTGTCAAAATTATTCCAGTTTCCCTTAAATTAGCTTCTGTTGCTGGGGGAAAAAATGCCTTGGTTCTCTGTAAATCTCTCTCCCACTGCAGGCGTCCTGACCCTGTGCCCGTGTTTGGTCCTGCAGCAGGCTCCTTTTTAGCCTATCTCATTAGTCTCATCACACTGGCAGTTTTCGTTTTTGACAGTGTGGATCTCGTCCATGGGCATTGTGTGTATTCTTTCACTGATGAGAACAATTAGATACGTTGTGTTCTCCCTTTGTGCTTTCCCTCACTTGCTTCGAATTACACAATGATTAGCGCTGTTGGTGTTTTCCTTAGGAGCAGAGGGTAGATGAGCCATCCAAGCCATCACCAATGGGAGATATGATAGATTTAATGTTATTATGCACTGTTTTCCTCTGTAGGCGTGCATAAGTTCTCAAGTTATTTTGGATAGGTTTTTGCTTATTAAAATTTTCTTTATTGTTTTTCTCACATATGAAGCAGAAAGGTTCTTGAGTTGGGTGTGTGTGTGTGTGTGTAGGTGAGATTAAGGAGGAGCGTGGATTTGCACCATTTAGAAAGAAACACAGCACTATACATAGTTGAGTGTCTTTTAGAGCTATAGTTTTGTGCCCCATGAACTGAAGTGCAGGTGGAGGGAAGCCCAGTCCTCACATAAGCAAACCCTGCATACATGAAAAGATTTATGATTATCTGAAAAGCTGTTAGTGCATCACTTCTCCTTGAGCACTTATTTGATACCTGTTATCCAGAAGGACTTAGTATAATATTGTGTCTTTCATGTGCATTTCTAAGCTCCCTGGAGGTAGGGACCATGTTCTCCACGTGTTTAATGCTTATAGAACTTAACATATATTCTGCATTTAATAGACTTTTGTTGGATTGAATATCTTAAAGTGCCAATTAGCACAGTATCGAGTGTTAGAGAAAACATAAAGCATTCATTAGAGTCACCTTTCCTAAAGGTGAGTTTGAAGTTAGGTTTTGAAGATGAGAAAGATACATCAAACAAGAAGAGACAAAAAGGTGTCCGAGGGGCTGGCGCTGTGGCGCAGTGGGTTAAAGCCCCAGCCTGCAGTGCCGCCATCCCATATGGGCACTGGTTCGAGTCTCAGCTGCTCTACTTCTGATCCAGCTTCCTGCTAATGCGCCTGGGAAAGTAGCAGAGGATGGCCCAAGTCCTGGGGTCCCTGCACCCACGTGGGAGACCCAGAAGAAGTTCCTGGCTTTGGATCCACTCAGTTCTGGCCATTGTGGCCATTTGGGAAGTGAACCAGTAGATGGAAGACCGTTCTGTTCTCTCTCTCCCTTTCCCTCTCCCTCTCTCTCTGTCATTTTGTCTTTCAAATAAATAGAATAAATCTTTAACAATAAAAATTAAAAAATTTTTTAAAGGTGCTAGAACTCTCTTTGGAAGCAGAACCTTCTGGATGGAAAGACTTTTCTTTAAATTTTTAAAGATGGAAGAGGTGAAAAAATTCTATCTCCTGCCTTCATATGAAGTTCTTCTGGTGTTATTGATGGAACTTATAATACCTTGGGGTCACAAGAACCTCAGAAGCCAATAAATCCTGCCATTACCTTCCGTGTTTGAAATTCCCTTCTTTGGGGACTAATGCTAGGTTGTCTAGGGGATGCTGAGACACGGGCGGGACCAGACTATTGACCTGAACTTCTCATTGGCATTTTCCCAGAAAAATAAGCTTTCTCATGTTGGAGATCTTTTTTTCCTGCATAAATCTGAACTTGATTCTCTAAGTTTCTTTGGTTTTGGTTGACACTAGAATTTATAATCTACCACTAAGGAACAAAGTCTAAAAACTGCATTCGCTTCTAAGGGGTCATTGTATCCTTGTAACAGATACACCTGGAGGAGTGAAAGATGGTGATCATTTATTTCCCACCTGAGGTGGCCTCTATGCTGACTTATTTAAAATCCCCAGAAGTTCAGCTAGAGAGAAGCCATCTTGCCCCGTAGTAATCTAAGTGTTGGGCTGCAGGAGATGACAGAACTCAGGGTTCAAGAGTCTTCATGGGAGTATCTATCATGTGGCGCACTGTGCAAAGGGCTGGAAGTCTAGCGGCAAGCAAGTCTGATGTGCTCCTCACCTCGCTAGAAAGTCTGGTGTGGCAAGGTCCAGTGAGCCACACTTCATGGCCCCTGAGGAGCCATATGCGAGCCCTAGGCCAGCTCACACGTAATGCTTGAGCTGTCCTGAACATTTCACCAACCCCATCAAGTATTGTGGAGGACCCTGAGATCTCTCCATGGGCCCTCAGTGTCACCTCCTCTCTTGCTTGACCACCTCCTTGCTTCAGCTGTGATCTGAAAAGTGGGTGTCAGCTGGAAGTTGTTGACTACAAATCTGAAGATGGGGCTTTTCCTCAACATCCCATATTTGACAACAGTAGGTATACTGTACATGCATTGGGCAGGGCAGTGATACTCAAATGGGGAGGTTTCCAGCAGGCCAGGAAAGTCCTGGATCAGGTGGTGGAAGTAGCATTGGACCTAGAGAAGAGATGTGAGATCTGTTGGAAGGAGTTGGACTTCCAGTCAACTGAAAATGGGAAAAATTAGAAGTGGTTTTTTGGCTGGAGGTTGAGTGTCCACTAGAACATGGGGCCATGTAGGCTCAGGATGGAAGCTTGGAGAAGGCCAGGCTCCTGCTTGTTCCCTCTCCCTGGACAGGATTGACGAATGAATGGACAGAGTAGAAATTATTCAGAGGGGAAGCAGGTTGCGTCTGGAGGAATGAATGGGCTTATTCAGTGAATAAGCCAACGTGGCGCTCTGGCAGGTGGAGGAAGGGCTTTTCATGGGGATAGCTTGGCCCTCAACGTGGGAGGGGGGAGGGGGGAGGGGGGAGGAGAAGGAGAAGGGCGTGCTGACGAGCTTGCTGCTGTGACGTGGGCTTCCTCTTCCGCTTGGCTGCCTGTCGTGAAGCCTTTTTCATTTTCACAAGCTTTGTGGCAGACGATCAAAGAAGCTATTTGTGCATGTGATATTTTCTCAGCCACCATTACAATTAATGAAATTATATTATTTCAGTAAAATAAAAATGAATAAAATAGGTAGTGTCTCATCTTTAAAGGGGGGGGGGAGATGATGACCTGATTGCATCAGGGCCTCTGAAAGCACCGTTTTTGTTTTTTGGGTTTTTTTTTTAAGATTTATTTTATTTATTTGAAAGACAGAGTTACAGAGAGAGGTAGAGACAGAGAGAGAGGTCTTCCATCCGCTGATTCACTCCCCAAATGATTGCAGTGGCCAGAGCTGTGCTGATCTGAAGCCAGGAGCCAGGAGCTTCTTCTGGGTCTCCCACGTGGGTGCAGGGGCCCAAGCACTTGGGCCATCCTCCACTGCTTTCCCAGGCCACAGCAGAGAGCTGGATGGGAAGAGGAGTAGCCGGGACTCGAACTGGCACCCATATGGGATGCCAGCACTTCAGGCTGGGGCTTTAACCCGCTGCGCCACAGTGCCGGCCTCGCAGAGTTAGGTTTTGAGTCCCTATTGGCAGCTCTAGCACTTTTGGTCTCTCTGACTTCGGGGTCTGTGCTCACTGAGTAACCATAGTCACATTGACATCAGCTTTGAGGGAGGGGCCTCCGTTGCCTGGAAGGGTGATGGCAGACCCCGCTGGAGGTTGCTTGCCCCCATTTCTCACTCTCTGCTCTCTGGTTCCTAGGACTGCATCGACGTAGGCTGGTGGGAAGGAGAGCTCAACGGCAGACGCGGAGTGTTCCCTGATAACTTTGTGAAACTGCTTCCACCGGACTTTGACAAGGAAGGGAATGTAAGTCTCTAGGGCTTTCATCTCCATGCCCCACCCCCACCCCACTCACGCTGTCATAGTCACGCTCCCATGATGGGACTTGGGATGCGGGATAGGGGAAATCTGGGGTCATGCTTAGGACGTTGGCACTTGTATTTTCTGTGGGCCCAGTTCTGAGCCCCTGGCTGCCCTGTGCCCTACACAAGTTCATTGTAGGACTCATCTGTCAGTTGGCAACAGTGATCCTTACTCTAGGATTGTTGTGTGTATGAACCAGGTGATGTGTGTGAGGTACTCTGTTTAGTATGTGGCAGCTTTGAGAGCTCAGATAAACTGTGAGACCCCGAAGTGCTCCATCTGGTAAGCGAACTGCCTGTGTCCCGCATAGCCCGGTCCTTGGGGGGTGGTGACATAGCCAGGAATGTGCAAGAACTTTATGGTATGAGGGGGTAGTGATTTGGTCTCACCCATCCTGTTATCCACCTCAGGGCTCTTGATTCAGCCCTGTGCATGACTTCTGCCTACCTTTCCATGCCTGGGCCCTCTTTATGCCCTTGGGGGCTCCATTACTGGACCACGCTGAGCCCAGCCTTGCCACATCACCAAGGATGTGTGGGATGGATAGCTACACTGCTAGTGGATGGCTTGCCAAGGATGCTAACCTAGCATTTAATGGAGTGTGCACTATTTAGGTAAATGGTTCTTTAAGAAGCTTGATGATTCTGGCACTTGCTGAGGTTGTGCCCTGTAGACTTTTAGATTGGTTTGAAGCCCAAGACCACACTTTTTAGGCTTCTTAATAGCTTTCTTTTTTGTGTTGTTCAATTGAAGGATTCTCTCTTAGAATCTGAGTTTGGATTGTAAAGAATCTGGATTTTGCTTCTAAATGTTTTCTAGATCCTTGATGTAGCATTAACATCAGCCAGAGGTTTGTTAGACCCCATCCCAGACTTGGTGCATCTGAGTCTGCGTTTTCACAAGATTCTCTGGTGATCTGTTTGCATGTGTACATTATGTATACGGTATGACTAAATCTAGCTAATTAACATCTGCATTGCCTCACGTACTTAAGTATTTTTGTGGTCATAGGCAGTATGGTTTTGAAGGCTAAAGTAAAATCGGGATCATGCATTTAAGCTGTGGGTGAAGCCTGCGCTTGTCCCCTTGTGGCATCTTGCCTGCTAGTTCCCTGGGCAGATTTTAGTGGGGCAGTAAAGGCACTCAGGCAAAAGAGACTCCATGCATGCCCTTCTAGAAACTCCGTGTTACATAAGGTATTCAGGGAAGCACTTCCACTGCTAGAGCGAGGTTGTCCGTGATAAGCGGACTCGGCCTGGGTTGCTGTTGGGGCACGCACACTCCTTGGGGCCCCATGGACATCCCTTCAGCCCCAGGCAGGCAGCCCCCATGTCTGATGGGTCTTTTGGCCCTGTCCCCAGGGAGCAGAAAACCCAGTTTTGAGGGAAACAATAGTGTACCTGTCAGACAAGGTAATACCTAGAGCTGCGGAATGATTGTGTAATGTGACATTCAGCTTTGAGCAAATTCAAAGTATAAGATCCCTTTGCATCCCCGTGGCCTAGAGTCCCAGCCGGCCCGCTTGGCCCTGGTTCTGCTGCACCAGGGTGCTGGAGAGCTGGTGACAACGTGACTGGGCTTGGGGCTGCCATTTGCTGAGTTGACATTGTAAGGCTGATTAGAATCATTAACACGGAGGCACTTGGTGAATGGCAGAGTCTGAAGCATTGTGCCACCAGTTTCAGCAGATGTCTTCTTGTCTTGCCAGCGACAGGGGCTACATCGCTCACCCAGAGAAGAGGGCGGCCTGCGCCGATTAGGGGAGACAGCAGCAAGCAGCGGGTTTCAACGGCAAGGCCTCTGACTCTGTAGGCAGCACGGGAGCATTCTGATGAGGCTGCCGTGTTTTCTGCTGGCGTGTGGATTCGGCTGCTTACCACCAGGCCTTTTGGAATTCCTGGTGGTCTTTCTTTCCCAGAGCGTCACCCAGGTGACAAATGCCTTGGAGCTTCACCCCAGGGTATTGCAGGAGAGCACTCCTGGATCCTTGGTGCATCTTTTAGAGAAGTTGTGTAAGCGGTGAAAGGGAGAGCCTCGATTCCAGGGCTGGCTGCTTACTTTGAGCCCTGACAGTAAAACGGAGTAGCAGAATGAAGTAGAAATATTCAGAGGGCTCGAATGCAACAGTGTGTGGACTCTGTGGTTGTCACCACAGCACAGCAGGAAGCTTGGACTCCCAAGAGCAGCACCTGTAGCTTCTCATTTCTTTTTTTTTTTCTTTTTGACACGTAGAGTGGACAGTGAGAGAGAGAGACAGAGAAAGGTCTTCCTTTGCCGTTGGTTCACCCTCCAATGGCCGCTGCGGCTGGCGTGCTGCAGCCGGCGCACCACGCTGATCCGATGGCAGGAGCCAGGTGCTTCTCCTGGTCTCCCATGGGGTGCAGGGCCCAAGGACTTGGGCCATCCTCCACTGCACTCCCTGGCCACAGCAGAGAGCTGGCCTGGAAGAGGGGCAACCGGGACAGAATCCGGCACCGGGACTAGAACCCGGTGTGCCGGTGCCGCAAGGCGGAAGATTAGCCTAGTGAGCCGCAGCGCCGGCCTGCAACTTCTCGTTTCAAAAGGAAACCATGGAGAGTGGTTCTTCTGAAAAATCGTAGTTTAGGAAAGTCTCAGGCTCTGGTTCTTTTAGGAGAGAGTCCAGATGACCGCAGTGGTGCCCCTGCTCTGGCGTGTGTGGACTGGAGGGCTCCTTGCCTTGTCAAGGATGAGGGTGTTGCCAGGGCTCCCCTAGCACTTTCCCCGGCCGTGCTCCACAGTGGAAGGTCCCTTCATGGCTGGAGGGACTCCGAAACCTGCCCGCCAAAGTGGCCCTGTGACTGGGTTGCAGGCTCGCCTTTGCCAACTTGCAGATTTGTGTGGGTAAGAGGCTGCCAGCTTAGAATCGCAACAAGAACTGAGGTGTCAGCCAGACTGGAAGGCAGCACGTGCCTTCCCTGGGCCTTTGCCCCTGTGGGCCCGAGTCCCTAGAAGCCAGATTCCACCAGAAGCTCCGTTTATCTGGGAAGGCAAGGAATCTAAATGAGAGGAATCTGTTGTCCTGACCAAAGATCTGGCAGGTATTGCTGGAGGCCACGTCACACACCGGAGAGAAAGCTTTGCCAAGAGCGCCATATGCTGAATTCAGTGAAGCCCGCACACTGCTTGCGAGAGCATCTCTGTTGGCCTCAGCTTGGTCTTTCTTCTCCATTTTCCTGACTGACCAGACCCTTCCTGTTCACGTCCATCTCCAGACACATGGGGATAGTATCTGTGCAGTTTCCTACATTCTCGATTAGAGTTGTGTGCCAACCCGCCCCTTGAAAGCAGAAGCTTTCCAGGTTCGAAACTTGCACAGAAGAGGAAGTCACTTGCTTCATTCCCACAGTGGCTGGCCCACCGTGCGTGAATTTTGCTGCTATAACTCTATTTTCTCTTGACCAAGTTCTTAGGACGTCCCTTACCTTAACTCACATAGCAACCTAGTTGATAAAGTCTGTTTTCCTTCCTTCCTTCTCTTCCTCTCCTGTTTGCTGCTGTCTCTTATACTGGTGTGAAAGAGGAAGAAGAATGCAGGGTGGAGGGGGAAGCTGGGATCTTGTCAGGGCCCCCTTTCCAGACAACGGGGGCCTAGGTCCTTCCATCTGGACTTTGGGTTGGACATACAATTAAGTCATCATTTCCAGGGTAGGGTTGATGGAGTGAAGGAGTGAGCCGAGGAGCCGAATGCCAAAACCTGGCTGACCACCCAGTACGCCATCATTCTGGATGGGCCCAGCCAAGAGGGGGGCCCATGCATGTAGGCCACTGGCTGGAGGCTAGTGGAGGAAACTCGAGAGAGTCCCCCCAAGGGGCAAGTTGCACAGTGGCTCCCTGGGATCTCTGTGCGCGTGGCAGGGCAGGCAGTCATGGGCACTCTGGAGGGCTCCGAGGTGCAGTTACAGACGTGGTTATCACCCAGAGCATAGCGCCGGCTACACACTGCACAGAGATGGCTGCTCCTCCAGGGACTTATGGGAAAGTCAGAGCAATGGCCTCCTGATGTGTTTCTAGATCTGTTGAGGGGGTGTCCTGGTCAGGAAGTGTGTACTTACGTCCCCTCTTCAGCTTCACTCGCGGACACTTCTGATACTTGCAGGAGCTTCCCAAGGTCCAAAGTCAGTCAAAATCCAGCTGCAGTTTGTTTCTAAGATCTTAACCATCCTTGTCCAACAAAGGCCCCCTGCCATGGTTTGAATATGGTCTGTCCCCACCAAAACCCATCTTGTAGCTGCATCCCTAGCCGAGCAGTGTTGAGAGGTGGTATGACTGTAAGAGGGAGTCAGGGTCATGGGGGCTCCGCCCTCCAGAGTGGATTACTGGACACACTGGGTGAGTTGTCTTGGGATTGCGCCACAGGAGTGGATTCCTTCCTGGCCCCTCCCCTCAGTCTCTCACACACTGGTTCCTTTTGCGTGTACCCGGTTGTCTTTCCACTTCCCACCATGAGTTGAGGCAGCAAGGGGCCTTCGCCAGAAGCCAGGAAGATAGTAGCCCACTCTCTTGGGCTTCCAGAAGAAGGAAGAAGAAACCTTTTTCTTTATAAATTTCCCCATCTCGCATGTCCGTTATAGCAACAGAAAATGGACCAAGACAGCCCCTGAAGGGTGCTGAGCCCTCAGGGTACACTCCTCTGGCTATTTGCAGCAGCTCACATCTCTGGGGCCAGAACTCAGAAAGCACAGACTGGCTTAAGAGGCAAAATGGCACGTCACGATTCCTGCCAGGGGCAACACGTAGGCCAGCTGATGAGCTCTTTGGCTTGGGACGGGCCAGTCCTGCCAAACGAAGGAGCTGAGCGAGTTCGGAAATCCTTCAGCAGGTACAAAGCTTACCTTCCAGCTGTCTCCTCTGGAGCCCTCAGATCTCTTTGCTTTCTGGTAGCATAATGCTAAAAATCCAATCTCGCCAATCTGTCCTTTGAAGCATGGGTTTTCATCTCGGTCTGAGCCAGCAAGTCAACAAACAGGCAGATGGATCTGGGTGCATTAAGGCCTGTGTGCCCTGTACACTTGATGGCCACAGAAGGCATTCGACTCTCCCAGAGATCAGGAAACATTGGATCACTGATTCTGCCATTGACATTGTCATGTCGGCACTTTCAGAATGAATTCCTGCAGTCTGGACATCAAGAGACGTGAGGTCTGAGCCCCCTCTTGCTGCCAGCTAGCTGTTGACACAGCCCCCATGGGCCTCGGTTTGCACAGGTGTAAAGGGGGAGCCCTGTGACTCATCACTTATAGCTTTAACATGCACCAATTTTTTTTTTTAGCGTTTACCGAAAATGGAGCAGGCTGAAGTCACCTGAGTTTAGAGTGTTTTACTTTCACCAGGAAGGTAGGGCTAAACAGAATGAATCGAGCAAGTGCCTCTAAAAATTCAAAATTCAAAATTCAAAATACTTGCCTGAATTGAAAGAATGTTTCTACCTGTGCCGGTATAGGAGCTGGTTAGTGTCTGATTGCTGTTAAACCCCACAGGAAACCTTGAGCTACTGCTTAAACTGGCAGATGCCCAGTGCCATCTCCGTTAGCCAGCCACAACTGGGCATCTCAAAGACAAGCGACAGAATGCGCTCATGTGTTTTAGGGCCCCTGTGCAGTGCCCTAGTGATCCTTTAGGGGGCAGTCTAGAACGGCCTGGAACTTTGACCATAATTTTTGTTTTCAGCTACCTTAAAAGATATCCTGTTTGGAGATGTGGCATCTCTCCTCATCCAAGGAGGCGGGAGGGCGAGGTCTGATGGAACCAGAGAGAAACAATGAGCCTGTAAGCCTACTCTGCTAACAAGCAAAGGAGGCACCTGGCCAGCGCTGGTCAAGCCTGGTTAGATGCAAGACGGAAGCTCTCAAACTGTTCCTTCCTTTCAAAGCGAGGCCTCAACACAGACTCACACCTCTGCCTGCTGCGTTGCCACCTTCACACACACACTTGCCGTGACCACACTTCTCATACACTGTCTGTGAGCGCAACATTTCCCCTCCTCCCCTCCGCCCCACCCCACCGCTCTGCCCTGTCACATGTCATGTGTCTGCTACATGCCAAATGTGACACAACACTTAGATTATCTTTCTTTGCCCAGTCATCTTGGAAAATATGACTACTTTTACTTGTCTTTTTCCAATTTGGTTTGAGGCAAGGTCGCTGGGGGTAATGGCCTCATGTGAAATTGGTTACAGAAATTTTCAGAGCAATAAGAGAGTGAGGAAGCTGTCCAGGGGTAGGTATTGTTGGGACTTGGCTAAGAAGAATTGGGCCACAGGGTGTTGGCAGTTTTGTGCTCCTGAGCTTAGAGGAAGGTTAATTGGCAGAGTTTCAATGGTAACTTCATTAGGTAAACATACATCTGTCCCCAGTCTAATTTACACAAAGAGAAGAGAGGACCAAAAAGGAAAATAGTCAAAGGGGCTGGCAGAAAGGGAAGGCACAGCGTAAGAACATAAGCCGGAAGCAGATCCACCCAGTGGAGGGCCTGTACCTAACATAATTCAGTTCTCTGTGCTTCTGCAAGCTCATTGCGTGTGGTTTAATTTAATGGCCATATGATGGTTTGTCTTGTGAAATTGTTTGGCAGAATGGACCCTTTATGGTGGTTGAGAGCATGTATGTGGGTCAGACAGCCCTGAGCTTGGCTCCTAGCCCACGCTTCTGTCTCACATAATAGCCTGGAGATGTTGGGAAATGACTTCATCTTCTGAAGTCTCAATTATTTCGTCTGTAAAATGGGCTTACTAGTATCACTACCTCATAGTTTTGTCACAAGGGGTAAACAAGTCAGTGCTTTCTGACTCTTGCTTGTGCACCACCTCCTCCTAGGAGGGAGGGGCTACTAATGAGCGCTTGGAGATGAGGAGGTCCAGCTGGGCGAGGCTGCCTGCCAAGCGTCCATGGCTAGTGTTGGAAAGCGCCAGCATTAGTAGAGACAGTCAGATTCCAGACGCTCCCCTCCTGCCTACCGTGCTGTGCTGCTAACTCACAGCAACTTGAGTCATGCAGCTCATGAAGAGCGGGACTAAAATATCATTGAATCTGGAGCCTGCGTGCTCTGATGCTCTCTGAGAAAGTTCCTTTATGGGTCTCGTAGTCTCTAGGTTTTTACTTAAAACCATTTCTCCCCAGGCCCCCAGTGCTATATCAGGCATTGGCAGGTTAACCCATGACGGGCACTTTTTTTTATTGGTCCTTGTGGTAAAAAACAGGTTTTCGCTAACAAGTAGGTAACAGTAGGTTTCCAAAGAACAGAAGAAACCCTGTGGGACTTTTGAAAATCACAAGACTGTGATGGCCAACATAACTCATAGGCTGTAACCCACTCCATTGCCACCCTTTCTTAACAGTCTTGACATTGAGAGAGTTCACCCCTTGCCTTTGCTCCCCCACCCCCACCCCGTGCCCTTAGCATGGCTGTCTAAGAACGGAGTCCTGGCTGCATTCCCTGGCCACTGAATCATTCGCCAAGTCCAGCCTGACCATCTCCCTCCTGCAGTCCATCCTAGGTGACGTCCCTGGAACCAGTCCCGGGATGAATGCCATTGATCGCATTGCTGCTTCTGTCACCTACAGAGTGACAGTGTGAGAGAGAAAAATAGCAGCTGATGTGCAGAAAAACCTCCCTTCCAGTTGACAGAGTACAACATGGAGGGGGGGGGGTTGGGGGAGGGGGCTTGCCTATGACCCGGCCGCCTCAGCCTTAGAAAGGGGCAGAAGACTTGACACCCGACCTGGACCTGGCCGGAGCGTGCCCTCTGCCTGCCTTTTGTTGGAGGCCCCTCCTCCAGAGAAGATCTGATTTTGAATCTTCACAGCGACTCTCTTCGAATCCCTTGGTTATTGAGCAGATTAAATCTTAATTGCAAATGCGGTTTCAGCGTGGGTGGACCATTGTGCTGGCTGGTTTCAGGCCATTTTTGCTGAGCCACACTTTTCCAGAAGGCTGTTGCAAATTTAGAAAGGGGGAAATGGCGTTGCATTTGTCGATCCGAATTTTGTTTTGCTGACTGAATTTATTTTAGGTTTGTCTGAAGGTACCAAAGACTGACATCCCTGGAGAGAGAGAATTGCTCAGTTTGGGGGGGGGGGGGGCATCTCTAAATTGTCCAGAGTGCACATAGAAATGGTGTCTTTGGTCCTTTTGTAAGAGGCCAGGCTTGCCAACAATCTCATGTGGTATAATTTTGATTAATTTTTCAGAGACCCAAGAAGCCACCGCCTCCATCCGCTCCTGTCATCAAAGCAGGGGCAGGTAAGGTACCTTTCTGTTCCATCAAGTCAAACGTGCATCTTTCTTTTCACTCGCATTCAAACTGTCCTTGGGAGAGTTCAACATTCCTAGATTCAAACGCCACACATTGCCAAATTGGGAATTTGGTCTCAGTAGGCACCTTTTCAATATCCAGCTGTTTTTCCTGAAGAAATAAACCTGTCATTCCAGTCTGTCTCCGATCTGGAGCAAAAATCTAGGCCCCCAAAGAGAATGGTCAGAAAGAACTTTCCAGTCAAGCAGTTGGGTTTTGTTTCAATGAAGTGCTTTTGAGGCTAGAAGGCTCTGCCTGTCCTGCTCCGCCTGTGCCTGGTCGAGGGTCTGCCTGGGCAGGATGGCTTCCCACGGAGCGTCGTGTCGCAGTGTGTGTACAGCGTTGCTCAATTTTCCATGTCTCTCCCGTGTGGTTAACCAAAATTGGTGCCTGCTTCAGTTAACCCCAACAGAAAGCTGTTTTTCTAGTGATAAATACTCCTCTTCAGGATGCCTTTTTATGTCTGGAAAGAGTCCAGGTTACTTGCTCTATGCAGTTCAGATATTAAAGTTGAATAACATAGGAAAAATGGGTGTTGTTAGACACGTGGTAACTCGTTGCACACTGGCTTCTCATACTGAAAGCTGACAACTCACATTTCCAGCAGCATTCCTCTTTCTTTTCCTTTCTTTTCCTTTCCTTCCTTCCTCCCTCCCTCCCTCCCTCCCTCCCTCCCTCCCCGATCCGGAGCCAGGTACTTCTCCTGGTCTCCCATGCGGGTGCAGGGCCCAAGGACTTGGGCCATCCTCCACTGCACTCCCGGGCCACAGCAGAGAGCTGGCCTGGAAGAGGGGCAACTGGGACAGAATCCGGCACCCCAACTGGGACTAGAACCCGGTGTGCCGGTGCCGCAAGGCGGAGGATTAGCCTAGTGAGCCATGGCACCGGCTGCATTCCTCTTTCTAATTGTTAAAATGAATTATGTGTAGGGGGGTGAAATTCCTCTGTGAATAGCTGGTTAAGTGGCATTTAAAAAAATTAAAACAGAGTACGTATATTTTTAGTTCTACACATTCACAGTGATATTTCTGTAGATTTGAAATGTGGATAAATTTCCAGATTGCTTTGTTCATAGATTTATTAAGAAATTTAAAGTTCTGAGGTTGGCATTGTGGGTAGCTGCTGACGCCGCCACCTCATGTGGGCACTGGTTCCTGTCCCGGCTGCTGCACTTCCAATCCAGCTCCCTGCTAATTGCCTGGGAAAAGCAGCAGAAAATGGCCCAAGTGTCTGGGCCCCTGCACCCACGTGGGAGACCCAGATGAAGCTCTTGGCTTCAGCCTGGCCCAGTGCTGGCCATTGCTACCATGTGGGAAGTGAACCAGCACCCACCCACCCTCCCTCCCTCTCTCTCTCTCTCTCTCTCTCTCTCTCACTTTGAAAATGAATGGATAAATCTTTTTTTTAAAAAAGCAAGTTAAAGTTCTTTTGGCCTGCCAAGTTGAGGGAAAAATCAATTGGCCCCCAATTCCTTTCCCATTCCGTTTAGCATACTTGAGAAAGGCAGAGATTGAGCCCTGAAATGGGATGTTAATTACATCTCCCGCTCCGCCCCCAGCCTTGCTTGCCTTGAGCAGTTTCACTTTGCCACCTAGTGGTTCTGGTCCTATAAATATTTCATTGTGCTGGAATTAAAGCAAGCTGTTCATTTGCTCTTCTCTGAAGACCGTTTGCCCTACAGGCCCTGGTAACAGATTAGTCCAAGGCTTGGGCAGCCTAGAACATACGCAGTCTCAGATTCTTGAGTAGGATTATCAGTTCTTGCTGTGTCTCTAGAAATGATACTGAACTTGTTCATTCTCATTAGGAGACCACATTGTAGCATGTTAGGCACACTTTTATTCTCAAACAATTTTACTGAGATTGTGGATCCCTGTGGGGCAAAACAAGGTGACATTTCATCTTCATAGATTACTGCTACTGCTCATTTACCCTGAAGAACGATCTTGGGAGTGGCTTTGTGATAGGAAGGTAGGCTTTGATATTTTCCCCATCATCAGCTTTCCTTGTGCTTGATTATTTGACCAGAAAATCAAATATGGACTTGGTAGCTATCAGACACAGCGTTTGGTTAGTAGTCAGTTGTTAAGGAGATTAAAGTAAATTTTGTGTTCAGTAGATTTTTTTAAGTTATTGTAGCCTCTGAGCTTGTGTAGTTGGGATTTTGGTAGCAGGCACCCACCTTGGGGGCTGGCCATGTGAAGTTTGTCAAGCACTCAACCAGGTCCACCCGTAAGAGGAACACTTTGGCTTGGCTTGTGCTTTAATATTTTCCAAGCGCTCTTACATGCCTGAGGACATTGGCAGTGATGAGGACTCCAGGGGAGGCAGCTGCTGCAGACCAGGTGGGTAAAGAGGAAATGCTAAGCGGAACCCTTGAAAAGATGTCATTCTGAAGGGATTCAGATGTCAACAGAAAGGATTTAGGGAGAACCCGTCTACCTTCTCTGCACATCCGTCAGCTGAAGGTCATGCTCCAGTACTCATTAGCAAACCACCCCAGATTTCGTGGCATAAAACAGTCTGGCTGGCGCTGCGGCTCAATAGGCTAATCCTCCACCTTGTGGCGCCAGCACACCAGGTTCTAGTCCCAGTTGCCCCTCTTCCAGTCCAGCTCTCTGCTGTGGCCAGGGAGTTCAGTGGAGGATGGCCCAAGTGCTTGGGCCCTGCACCACGTGGGAGACCAGAAGCACCTGGCTCCTGCTTTCGGATCAGCGCAGTGCACCAGCCGTGGAGGCCATTGGAGGGTGAACCAACGGCAAAGGAAGACCTTTCTCTCTGTCTCGCTCTCTCACTATCCACTCTGCCTGTCAAAAAAAAAAAAAAAAACAGTCTTCTTATGCTCACAGATTCTGTGGTTCAAGGATATGAGCAGAACACGTCCAGGATGGCTTGTCTCTGTTCCATCATGTCTGGGACTTTGGCTGGGAACACTGGATAGGCTGCAGGCTCCATTTCCAAGATAGCTGTTTGATCCACATGCCTGGCTTTCCTTGGCAAGGGTGGCTGGGAGGCTGGGCTCAGCTGGGGCTGTATACTAGACTATCTACATGTGGCCTCTCCAAGCTGGTTGACTTCTTAAATGGAACTTGAGTGTTCCAGCAAATAAAGTCTAAGCTATGCAAGCCTTTTATGACTTACCTCAGAAATGCCATGGCATCACACTGGCCACTGGTCAAAGCAGCCCAAGGCCTGCCCACCTTCCAGATGGGGGAATCTTGACCTCATCTCTTAATAGGAGGATGTTAAGCCATTCCAGACCATGTTTTAAAACTGCTACAAGATGGGATCCAAGTCACCAAGTCATCTTTATTTGTAGAGCATGATATCTAGTGACCCCCTATTTATATGTTTTGAGAATTGACTTATTTATTTATGCACATTCTCCATCCCCACCCAGTGATACCTTGTGACTATTTTGATGCCAAAGCAAGTCAAGTTTAAAACCAGAAGTTATTAATAGTCTGATAAATTAGGATTATAGGCAGGCAAACATAGTGACATAGGCCAGAAACTCCTCTCTGTTCAGTCATGTTTGCCAAGTAACTCATGAACAAACAAACTGTTGACTTTTCTATACCTGATAAATACTTAAATGCTGGTGTGTCTAATAAATGAATAGAGAAAACATTTTTTGATACTGTTGTCCTTCTCCTTCTAGGTACCACCGAGAGAAAACATGAAATTAAAAAGATACCTCCTGAAAGACCAGAAACACTTCCAAACAGAACAGAAGAAAAAGGTATGAAATCAATTCTTCATTGGCACTTTTGGGACAAGAGACGAAGCTGTGTGTCACAGGCCTAATCCTGATAACCCGTAGAATTTGCCTTTTCTGTGGAACATGGTGATTCTGGTTTTGTTTTGACTGTTTATGAATAGCTCCTTTCCAAGGAAATCGGAGAGGGTTCCGTGGCACTCTCTAGGGCTGGAATTTCTCATTAAATGAAAGGTGGCCAGCCCACTCACCGCATTGGGGCTTTCCACCATCCATGCTCCCTGAAGTTGCGGATGTCAACTGTGTGTTGCCTGAGGCCCAGCACCCCAGGCTGCCCCTTCACTCTTGGTGGACGGAGGTGGCTTAGTGACATTCCCATCCCCATGATCAGTTCTCTCCCTGGGTCACTGCATGACCTGCGCCTCTGGATAGCGATGTTAGAGATACATGTCCTTGCTTAGGAGTGTTAGCGAGGCATGGGAGGTGAGGGTCGGCAGGGCAAACACGGGGGAAACAACTCAGTGCCCAGAATCCCCTGAAGGTGATCACATCTCAGGTCAGCAGGAAAGTAGCTTAAGAGGTCTCAGGCAGCCAGGTTTGCAGACGTGTGTGACTCCTGCCCTTCTGAGTGTCTCTCCAGAAGAAATCTGCTTGCTGGGGAGGCGTCTAAGAGTTGATTGGTGAGACATTTCTGTGGGGAAAGTGCTCTGCTATTATTATGAACAGGAGACTGAGGCAATTCCATTTTAAAAAGCAGTTATTTTGAAGTCACAAGAGAGATGCTGAATTAATGAACGTAATTATTTGGAGCTGCTCCTTGGCGGCCTCATGAGGTCGTATTGTGAAATTTAATTTTTTATCAGCCAGCCAGACTTTTTGCCAACATTGTGAACTCTCTTTTTTTTTTTTTAGATTTATTTATTTATTTGAAAGGCAGAGTTACACAGAGGCAGAGAGAGACAGAGAGAGACAGAGAGAGAGAGAGAAAGAAAGAGAAAGAGGTATTCCATCTGCTGGTTCACTCCCCAGATGGCTGCAACAGCCAGAGCTATGTGAATATGGAGCCAGGAGCCAGGAGCCAGGAGCTTCCTCTGGGCCCCAAACGTGGGTTCAGGGGCCCAAGAACCTGGGCCATCTTCCACTGTTTTCCCAGGCCACAGCACAGAGCTGGATGGGAAGTGCAGCAGCCAGGACTCGAACCGGCGCCCATGTGGGATGCCGGCGCTGCAGGTGGCAGCTTTACCTGCTACGCCACAGCACCGGCCCCGATTGTGAGCTCTTAAATTGTGCTTCTTTTATTCTTAGTGAGCAGTTGGAACTTGAGTTACAGGACTTCATTGTGAAGGCCAGGTCTGCGCCACAGCTCAGTGAACAAAGTAGCCATTGCATGTACACCGTGTGAATAACTCCTGGATGGAAGTGTGTTGTGAAGTAGCCATGCATCATCCCCTGTCCTCATGGAAGACATGTAGCTGGTTTCTGGGTGACAGCGAGCTGTGTGAGGAAAACGCTTCCATACTGACTAACATGCACTTGGCTTGTGCTAGGAAGTAGCCACACCCCTTTGGTTCTTCCCTCTCCATGAGCTGTTGTGCTTTGCCATGGTCAGCCAGGGAACCAGCCTGGCCCTGAGACTTTGCCTCCCTCTTAGGTCAGTGTGCATGCAGTGCACATGCACACACACACACACACACACACGCATACACATTCATTCTGCAGGCTCCAGGATGGAGTGTTCATCCCTGTCTTGCTGCCAGCATGACAAATCTCTTCTTTGTATTTTAGCTCAGCCCTTCCTCCTCTGGGCCCTGGGTGCCAGAAAGTGAATTCCCAGCATTCCTGGCTGGGGTGTGCTTCTCCCACAGAAGCATTGTGGCGTTGCATGCAGTGATACTTGCCCAACACCTGATGGATCTTTTTGAAAGTATTTAATTATTTAAATAGTATTTATTTTTATGCATCTGAAAGACCGAGAAATAGACACGGGGTAGAGGTGGGGGAGAGAGAGATACCGAGAGAGAGAGAGAGATAGATGGATCATTCATCTGCTGGTTCACTCCCGAAATGCCTGCAACAACCAGAGCTGAGGCAGACTAAAGCCAGGAGCACAGAACTCAGTCCAGGTCTCCTGTGTGAGTGGCAGAGACCCAGGCACTTGAGCTGTCGCCTGCTGCCCCATGGGGCGTGCATTAGCAGGAAGCTGGAATTGGAAGCAGAGCCAGAACTCACACCCAGGCACTCCGATGGGATGGGGGTGTTCCAAGTCATGTCTTAACCACTCTGTCAACCATCTGCCCCTCTAATGGGTTTTTGAAGCTTGTGCCAATCAGCCTGAGCATCCAAACAACATGAGTTTGTGCTTGCAAGTAAAAGATGTTCTGAGTCCCATCTTGCAAGTAAGCAAAGAGAACCTGCTTGCACTTCAGTGGGCAGCTCTCTGAAGTTCTGTCTTTACGAAGAAGAATGTGGATGTGAACTTTCCATAGTATGCGTGGGACAAGGCCATTTGGGAACAGAACTTGAAGCTGTCGCTGAGCACTGCACAGTTTGACCAAGAGGCCTGGCTTCAGTTTCATTCTGAGAGCTCTGACTCCAAAAAAGCCTTGAAACCTAAAATGAGGGGCTTCAAATGGCTTGTGGAAAATGAGATGAAAAGATAATGGGAATTTCCCATGCGGGTTCCACATCCATGGGTTGAGCCAAGTACAAATTGAAAATACTTGGGGAAAAAATTGCACTTGTACTGAACATGGATAGACTTCTTTTTGTCATTATTCTCTAAACAATAGAGCATAACTCCTGCCGGCATAGTATTTAAGCTGTGTTAGATATTAGAAGCCGTCTAGAGATAAGGGAGCATATGTGTAGGTTAGATGTAAATACTGTGCCATTTTTATACAAGGGACTCGGCTGCCCATGGATGTGGGTGTCCTCAGGGAGTCCTGGAACCAGTCCCCTGAAGCTGCCAAGAGAGGACTGCACCTGTGAATTCCCAGGTTGCCTTCGCAGTTCAGACTGCACAAGATTTCAGAACTAATTGCTCCCTGAGACACTCCTCCTTTTATTGGCTCATGGCCCTTTTCAGAGACCATTCAGAGGTGTCAGCCCCTTTTCCTCCCCATACCCAGTGGGTCCTCTGGGCCATTTACTAAACCTATCAGCCATCTACTGAGCACTTTTGTGCACCAGTACCACACAGGATCAGAGGGACATGACCAGGCTTGGAGCCTGTCTGCCTTTGAGCTTGGTCCAGCTCTTGAGAAGAGAGCGCCATGGTGCCATGTCTCTGCCACGCTTTGATGGATGAATAGGAGTTTGCAGAGGAACAAAGGGAGGAAAGGTGTGGAAAGAAGGAAACAGTGAGCCACGGCTCCATAGGGCTCTTTCTAACTTGACGAAGAGTAAGTAATACTCTTTACCTTCTATTTCACCTTCAGGAGTGACATCATGTTTTTTTCAAGCAAGAAATAAGCGATCCGTATCTAAGCATGGTCACTTACACTAGATCTGTCTGTTTTCTTTATGCGTTGTTCAACAATGATTTAAAGACAGACCAGAGAGGGAGCAAAAACTGGACTTACAGAAGCCCTCCGTTCCTGCCATCCCACCAAAAAAGCCTCGGCCACCTAAGACCAATTCTCTGAGCAGACCTGGCGCACTGCCCCCGAGAAGGCCCGAGCGACCAGTGGGCCCACTGACACACACCAGGTACTGCCCGGCTCTTGGGACCGGGGGCGGGAATGCTGTGGTCAGGGGACACGGGACAGGATCCAGTGCCCAGACCTCAGGAGGAGGGTGGGGAGGGAATTGTCCTCCAGCAAAGCTGTCTAGAGGTACCAGCCACTTCTGTCCAGGGCAGAAGTGAGAACAAGGTTGGGGGTACAGATCGGCAGGTGAGGGTCAGAGTTGCAGCATCTAGGCCCTGCTCACGCACAGGGCTTTTCTCTGGGCTGCTTTAGCGCGAGGCTGGCTACTCTGCAGACTGGAAATGCAGGTAGCACATCCACCTTCACTCCCTGGATCTCCCGCTGGCCTCGGGGTGGGCATCTCACTTGCAGTTACATTCCCAGAGCCTACTGCTGCTCTCTGAGTTCTCCTTCCGTACCCCAAGCTCCTTGCTTTTCACGGTACATTCCAAGGTGGAGCCCAGGAGCCCACGTGGCAGAGGTTTTCTCTGAGCTCACAGACCCTCAAAGCTGCTAGGGACAAGCTTTCAGTAGGCGCATGTTTGGGGGTGTGCCTGGCAAAGCAAAAATTTATTCTCTGGCTAGCTCGCTGCACATATGAGGGTACTTCAGAAAGTTTGTGGGGCAATGAAATACAAAAGATACATAGTACAAATAACAAAACTTTTGGGTAGTTTTTTCATAATATGCATTTCCCATGAAATCTTTGAAGACCCTCATATGCATTGATGATAATATTTTTTGCAATAAAGAAACTTGTTTTAGTCTCATTTCCATGAATTTTTTGAAGTATCCTTATAGTGTGCAGAGCGGGGAAGCATGGAGTTTTCTCCACAAATTCGTTGCCAGAACTTTCTGCCATTACATATACGTGCTGTACGTGTTGGTATAATATGTTGCGGCAAGTCAGTGACCTGGAGATGTCCAGACATGTCCCTGTCCGCACGGTCACTTGCTTTGTTGCTGTAAGCTGAGTTTCCACGCTGAGAGTCGCGTGGGGCTTCCAGGCTCTTGAATGGAGTCAGAGTGACCTGTGAGTTCCATTCTCAGCCCACCTCATAGGAGGAGGGCAAGCCTTGGCAAGTCCTCATCCCTGTCACCTCCCTTTCACCATTTGTAAATTGAGGACTGTAGTGGACAGTACCTAAGTGTTCCGAAGATGAAGCCCCATCCTAGAAATCCATGTTGTTTTCATTATCTCTCTCATTGTTTCCTATTGAACTAGCTACACTGGAGTAAGATAGGCAGTCATTCACTTCAGAACAATTTTTTTCCTTGTGTTAGGATACATGCCACACAGTATTTGTCATCTTAACCATTGTAAGTGCCTTTGTTTGGTGGCATTAAGCATACCCTCACGCTGTTGTGCAAACATTGCTAGCACTCTGTTCATCTTGTAAAGCTGCAGCTCCATACCCATTAAACACCTCCCCATTCCCTCCTCCCGCCCCCACAGCCCCTGGCGGCCACCCTTCTGATTTCCAGCTCCGTGAACTGGACTTCACTACACACCTCAGACACGTATAAGTGGAGTCATGTAGGGTTTGTCCTTTTTGATTGGTTTAGCATGGTGTTCTCAGTGTTCACCTGTAGCCTAATGTGCCTCTTTGCCTTTTCTTGTCAACAACAACCCCCCCTCCCATCGAATACAGAAGCGAGTCATGATGTGCGTGGTTGAGAGCGATCAGGATCTCGGCATGCAGTGGTGGCTGCACACGTGCCCATATATGGGAGGCCAGCTGCCCAGAAGGACTCAGTTGTGGGCATCTTGGTGTGTGTAAGCCCATTTGAGTAGCAGCTGGTTGACTCATGTCTTTCTACAGGTGCCTGCCAAGGTCCAATCTGACAGTTGCCTCCATACAGAGGCACTGGGGGAATGAATGACTCCCTGTTGGGTTGCTCAGGCTCTTACGTGTCACACACTCTTTAGTGACTGCTTGTAGAAGACTCTTAGCACGCATGCATGATGGGGCCCCTTGACAGCCCTGAGGACCAGAGTGAGAGCGCCTCTCTTGGCGCGGTCAGCTGAGAAGCTAGCACATCAGAAGGGAAACGATATGTAAACTCAAGTGCTTCCACCCAGACTGTGCGTTATCCGGACATGGAGAAGACAGGAAGCAGCAAAGGTTACACCATGCTTCGTGCTGCAGAAAGAGCCGAAGCCACACTGCCAGACTCGCTTAGTGTTCTAGGGGCTGCCAGCATCTTCACAAACTCAGCAACAGTTTCCAAAATATTCCTGCTCTTTCTTGAGATCTCCTAGGAAGACAGGTGGAATTCTGAACGCTCCTCGCCTTCTCTAGTGGCTCTCAGCCCTCTGGTGATGGGATAGGTGCCCTTTTGCCAGCCTGGGAGAAACGTGTCATCACGGTGGAACTTTAAACTCACAGAGGTCCTGTTTGCCTCCTGCCTCCGCTTGCCTCTTGTCTGCCTGTAGTTCTGTCAATATCCAAATGTCAGTGAGAAGGTCAGGCACCAAGGAAGGTGCACAGGAGGGCTCTGTGCAGAACCCAGTGGGAAATGTAACTTCCTAATTGTGTGAGGATCGTCTGAGCAGCGTGGAGAGGGGAGCCAGCCCCTAAGGCACTGGTTTGCAGAAAGGAGGGGGAGAGCCCCAGAATGGCTGTTCAGTTTAAGGGAAGGCTGTGCCTGCTCTACCTCAGTGCTTCTCTAGCTTGATTTCCCCCAGTCATCTGCAGACCTCATTCCAGACATCACTAGCAGGCCTGGTGCAGTGGCACAGTGGGTTCACCTGTCCCTTGCAATACTGGTATCCCAACTGGGAGCACTGGTTCAAGTCCCGGCTGCTAAGCAATCCAGCTGTCTTCTGATGTGCCTGGGCAAGCAGCGGATGATGCCCAAGTATTTGGGCCCCTGCCACCCATGTGGGAGACCTGGATGGAGTTCCTGGCTCCTGATTTCAGCCTGGCCCAGCCACGGCCATTTGCGGAGAATAGAAGATTCATATTCTCTCTCTCTCTGTCTCTCTCTTTTTGTGAAAGTGTATGTCTCCCTTTCTGTCTGTCACTCTGCCTTTCAAATAAAGCTTTTTAAAAATCTGTAAAAGAAATCACTGGGCTCGCGTGCGCAGTTGCTGGCGCAGTGGGTCTGGGTAGGCCTAGGAATCGGCATTTCTCACGCGCTCCAAGGTGTGGTCGCTCTGCTGGTGTTGACGTCGTGAGACCCACTGCTCCAGATTCTCCCAAGGTGCTCATGAGGCCCAGCCCTGCTTCCCTGGAGCCTTTCCATGTCCCCTCCTTGCGAGCCCCGTCAGCCTGGCCTCCCTTGGAAGCCTTCCCTCGTCGCTCAGGCTGCTCTCTCCCCCAGTGCCTGACACCCCCTGTTTAGCCTAGTGCTGGGCCCCATGCTGTGCCACTTGGGATGCGCACACCCCCGGACTCCTTTACCAGATTTAAAGCAGATCAGGAATGTGTTTTGTCATCTCCACATGCCTTGCAGTGTTGAGCATATGGTAGTGGCTCATTTAACAAACACTTGTTGGATGCCGTGGTTCCTTACAAGGGGGGGAGGTGCCAGTGCTCACATTTTGTTCAATTTTGCCTTTCCCGTCATCCCTCCCAGCCTCTGTACAAGCTCGCTAGCATGTGTGCCTTACATTCTGTCACCTAGTGTGCCATGTTTCCACGTGCAGCCCCTCCTAGAAGTCCAAGAAAGGCTTATTGGTACCCAATACATAATGCGCTTTATGTATTTCTGCCAGGCAGTGACGGTGTGCTGCCCACCTGTGTATTGGCCTATGAACTAATTTTCTTCCAGCAGACTGGTTGAGGTAAGGATGTCAACCTGAATGCCACAGCTTTGTGTCAGTGATCCTCAGGAGAGACGGTTCTGTGTGCTGTGTGAACCCAAATCTTCACCTGTGTTTACCTGACTAGATGGATGGACAGATGGACGGATGGTTGAAAAAGTGGACCCATGGTCATTATTTGCAGCTCTTGCTGGGAACTAAGCACTGGAGTTCCAGCTGCAGTGGCCAGGCTCGCACTGCCTCTCCCCGGCCAGACCGCGTGCTGCCAAACGTGCCTTTCAGAAGAGACTGCTTTCTTTGTCTTGAAAGAGGACTGGCATTGCTCTGGCTCAGCAGATTAGGACATAGCCTGCAGTGTGTGCATCCCATATGTGCGCCAGTTTGAGTCCCAGCTGCTCCACTTCCGATCAGTTCTGTGCTAATGAACCTGGGAAAGCAGCAAAGGATAGCGCGAGTGCTTGGGTCCCTGCACCCACAGGGGAGACCCAAGAGAAGCTCCTGGCTTCTGGGTTCTGCCTGGCACAACCCTGGCTGTTGAAGCCATTTGGGGAGTGAACCAGTAAATAAAAGGTCTCTCGCTCTTTCTCCCCTCTGTAACTCTACCTTTCAAATAAATTGAATCTCTTTTTAAAGATTTACTTTATTTATTTGAAAGTCAGAGTTACAAAGAGAGAGGAGACGCAGAGAGAGAAAGAGAGATCTTCCATCCGCTGGTTCACTCCCCACTCTCCAGATGGCCACAATGGCCGGAGCTGCACCGATCCAAAGCCAGGAGCTTCTTCTGGGTCTCCCACGTGGGTGCAGGGGCCCAAGCACTTGCACTATTCTTTGCTGCTTTCCCAAGTCATAGTAGAGAGCTGGATCGGAAGTGGAGCAGCTGGGACTCAAACCGGCACCCATAAGGGCTGCCGGCACTGCAGGCGGCAGCTTTACCGGCTATGCCACAGTGCTGGCCCCATAAATAAGTAAATCTTTAAAAAAGAAAGCAAGCATGTATATAACATTTAGTATAAAGATGTCTTTTTTAGATAGATTCACGTAATGAAAATATATTGATGGACTACTGTGTGCAAAGTACTATTCTGGATCTTAGTACTGGTGGGGCTCAGGTGTTCAGTCCACAGTTGTCCAGGGACAAAACTACAGCCATTTATGTTAATGATCTTTTTAAAATTTAAAATTCATTTATTTGAAAACACACACACACACACACACACACACATATGGCATACTCCCATCTACTGGTTTTCTCC